CAGGAAGCACACAGCTCTGCTGCTATGTGTACCTTGAATTTCCGGATACATGGCCATATACAGCAGGGCCCAGCGGATGGTTGTGGAAGTGGTCTCAGTCCCAGCAAACAGTAGGTCAAGAGCACATGCCACCAGGTCATCCTCACAGAAGTCACTGCCACTGGGCTTCAGAAAATCAAGTGTTAGTGCAACATGACCAGCGAGGACTTCCTCAACACCCCACACAGTTCTGCCCCTAGGCTTCTGGCAGAAGCTGCATTCTCATCCCTCCAGTGGATGCCCCAAACCTGATGTCCATCCTGAGCTCACATATGGACACACCAGCAGCTCAGGTGGGAAATTTGGTTTGTTTCTCAGCCCTCCTGATCTCCAGTCCCCACAGGGGAAGGGCTTGCTCCACACTGCTGACCTTGGCCATCTCCTGCAGGTAGCTGTCGATGAAGTCTCGGCTCTCTGAGGGGTTCAGGTCTTCCTTATGTTTGCTGATCACATTGCACACAAAATTTTTCATGAGCTCCCAGTTTTTAAAAATGGTTTGGTGGGATCCAGGGAGGTACTTCATTATGGAGGGGAAAGCATTGTACAGCTTTGGACAGAAAAAAGAGGAAAACTGAGTAAAGGATTGAAACCCCTTCTGTTTTCAAGACTTGAAAAGCCTGCAAAGCCATACCCTGCAATGCAGGAGTAGATGGAATTAACTCATTTCCAGAAGAGCATGACAAAGGATTGCTATTTCCATTGTCAGAGGAACTACTGCATGCCTCAGACTTATAGCAGGAAGCCTGGCACTCAGTGGAGGTGGTGATGCTGAGTGAAAGAGAGCAATGTGAACATTGCACAGCTTGAAAATATGGCCGAATGAAATTACATGAAGAAGCACTCTGTGCAACAGTATGATGAATGGCAGTGAATGTCCTTAGCAACATTCTTGTTGCTCCTTCCCATGACCTCCCCTAGGGCTCTGCCCAACCCTCTGCTGTTTTAGGTCCTTCCCAAAGCACAGGAAAACTAGCTGGGGTAGCTCAGCTTTGTGATCAATGGGGACTGCATCTTCACCAGGATGCATCCAGAGGTGGAGAGGGATCACATAGCCCTTCAAGGATGTGTCTTCATGGTCTCAGACAAGAGGGAAACATCTCCTGTGCTTGGCCTGACCTCTGTGCTTGGTGATGGCCTCACCTTGAACAGTGTGTGCAGTTTTGAGTGCTGCAATATATTAGGATATGAAACTATTGGAGAGCATTAAAGGAGTGCAAAGAAAATGGAGAAAGGTCTAGAAGGCAAATGTATGGGCAGTGCTGAGGTCCCTTGATTTGTTCCCCATGGAGGAGAATGAGGAGAGGCCTCATGGCCCTGCAGCTCATCATGGTGGCCTGCAGCTCCTCTCAGGTTGTGAAGGGGCAGTGCTGAGCTCTGCTCTCAGGTGACAGCAGCAGGATCCAAGGGACTGGCATGGAGCTGTGTCAGGACACAGTAAGGTGGGGGTTAGGAAAAGGCACTGCCCCATAGGGAGGGGAGCATGGGACATCTCATCATGGCAGTGGGCACGTCCTTGAGCTAACTGACCTCAGGGAGTGTTTGGACACTCGGAAATAGGGTTTGAACAGTAAGTATTCCTATATGGAGCCAGGAACTGGACTTGATAACCCTTATGAGTCCCTTCCAACTCAGAACTTTCTCAGAATCTAAAAAGTGCTGAAGCTTTTGGGGTTAACTCCAGAGAAGAAACAACGGCCTTTCAAATCTGCACGCTACCAGTGCTGAGGGCACGAGGGCTGTACCTGGCTCATTATCTTCCCTTGAAGGGTAACAGTCTCATCCATCAGCTGCAGCAAGTTTTGGAAGTCCTCATCATGGTATTCAAACCGATTGCCAAAGGTGACGGAGCAGACGATGTTTGAAACAGCATTGTTGATCTTAAGGTGAGGGTTGAAAGGATTTCCTGGAGAAGGAAAAAGGGAACAATCAATTCTCTTCTTCTCTCCACAGACAAGGGGAAGAAAGTCCCATCATCAGAGAGAAAATATTCAATAAGTGAAATGAATGGTATCCAGTGGAGCACCTTCCTGGAGATGGTTGTTTACTTTGGAAAGAAAGATCTGAAATGGCTTCAGAAGAACAAACACCATAGAAATTAATTGTGAACATTGGTGCTGACAGGCCCATGAAATTTTCTAGAGGTCTCAAATTCAGCAATCTGACAGAGGCAGGGTAAGAATGCTGTTTTGAGTGTTACACAGCTGCATCTATCAGTAAATCTGAGGGCAAAACACCTGTAGAAAGAAACTGGGATGCTAGCAGGTTGCTAACATTGTGAGATGATGAAGTACTTTTCAGCAGGCTTTTGTGTAGGTTTAATTAAAATAGTCCAACGTGGATTCTGCTTTCAGCACTGCTGAGGGAAGTGGTCCTCACCCTGCTCATCCCTGAATGCATCCGTGAGGAAGCGGCACTCCTCCTGGATCCGCTCCTCCAGGCTCCTCTTCCCCAGGCCAAAGTTTCGGAGGGTGGTCAAGGTGAACCTTCTCTGCTGCTTCCACAGGTGCCCATTGGAGAAGACCAGCCCTGGCAGAAACATTTCACAGTGAGCAAAGGCAGATGTCCTCAGCAAGGTGAAGATGATGGAGGACATATGCCTTTATAAAGGAGGCTCAACCATGCTCATGCTCAGCTCAGAGTGAATGTCAAGCAAGGGCATTTCCTCCATCTTTCCTCCTGCCAGGTTCAAAAAAAAAAAACAAAACAAAACAAAAAAAAAAAAACAATGCTTTTTAGATATAAGACGTTATTGATAACTCACCCAAATTGCCAAAGACAACTGTGTTGATAGGAATTTCTGGGCGATCCATGAAGTTCTCTCCCTGGCTCACAAGGGTTTCCTTGACCAGTGGCAGCCCATTTACAATCACAAATGACTGGCTGCCTATTTGTAAGCTGAAGACGTCTCCATGTTTTTCAGTAAGCTGGGGATGAGGTAATTAAGTATATGAGGGTACATTTGCAATGACATTTTATGCTTGGAGAGGGAAAGCCTTGGCATCCTGCATAAGTGGAAATAAGGCAAACTGAGCCTGGGAGAGGCAGCAGAATGGCTGCACAGGTGTTGGCTTGATTGCATGCAGTCTTTTTCCTCATTTTTCCTATCAGTGTTCTGAAGTTGGAGTCAAACCCTCCAGGCTGCATTTTCCAGGCCTTGCAAGACTTAGCTGAGCAAGGATTTTCAGCTGGTGTTTAACTCTTTTCCCAGTCACACTTGTCCTCAGACCCACCAACAGCTGAAGTGGAACCCGTGGTTCTGTCTCATGCCCTTTGCCCAAAGGATGTGGCTCTGTAGTCCTGGGCAAAGCTCATCCACCTTGATGATCATGGGCTAACCTCCTCCCCACAAACAGAGAGCCCTCTGTGGGCCATGGATGTGATTGGAATTAGACTGCATTGGGTTGGCCAGTAGCGTGAATCCCCTTACCTTTTGCACCATGCCTATGGGGTCATTGATAATCATCAGAAATTGCACGTTTCCCAGGAAAGGGAAGGAAAAGGGACCGGGGGGGAAATCCTTCGGCTTTCTCCTCTTCATGTAGTCAGAGACGAGCAGGAAGACGAAGAGGAA